CCTACTTTACAGCTGAGAAAACTGAGCCATATGGAGGTTATTTTTTAATAAATTTTGGAGCTAGAATTTTGATTATGAGTAATGGATTACAGATCTCACACTTTGGCTACATTGCTAATACCCTCCTACTATTCAATTCATATGTGAATGCCAAATGAAGACAGAATAGCAGATTGTGGAAGTTGGCAAGATTCTGTTCTAAAGGGGCTAATATTGTGACTTTGGAAATGGGTTGGAGGGGGAGGAGAAAAAATAGGGATTTAGTCAATTTTTTTTTCCAAATTGTTTTTCTAAAATGTCTCCCTCTTCTCTCTTTCCAGGTGGCAGATATGTACCTAGCATTAGAGTACACAGCACATGCCATTAGTGGTCCCACAGTACAAGGTGGCCTCCCTGTTTTTCACTGGAAGCGGTTCAACAAAACTCTCCATGAGGGCATGCCAGAGGCCTACAACTTTGATTTTATTACCATGAAGCCAATTTTGAAACCTGACATAAAATGAAGGGCGATAAGAAAATAGAAGGCTGCAAATAAGATACCAAAGGCACTATTTTAGCTATGTTTTTCCATTCACAATTAGTCTTAATAAAACGTATTAAATTTAGTCTGTTACTGTCATTCCCCACTGTTGACTGTGTAGTTAACAAGCATTCACTGTAGAAGAAACATTACATATGATTAACAACACTAGAATTCAGCATACAAACTTATATACAAGAGGGTATGGCAGCCCTAGCTGGTTTGGCTCAGTGGATAGAGCTTCGACCTGTGGACTGAAGGGTCCTGGGTTTGATTCTGGTCAAAGGCACATGCCCAGGTTGTGAGCTCAACCCCCAGTAGGGGGCATACAGCAGGAGGCAGATCAATGATTCTCTTTCATCATCCATGTTTCTCTCTTTCTCCCTCTCCTTTCCTCTCTGAAATCAATAAAAAAATATATTTTTTTAAAAAAGAGGGTATGGCAGAAACTGTTCCGTTACTCATCAAAATCCATATTCTTTTATGCCTGGCCACACAGACCACATATCCCAGGTTCCCTTAGGTAGTTGTGCCACATGACGAGTTCTTGTCAGTGGAATCTGACATGAGTGCCTGTTTCAGGCCTGGCCCCTAAGAACCTGTGCTCCTCCATGCTCTTTCCCCTTCCTTCCCTGGCTGGATATACTTAGTGACAAAGCCCAAAGGAAAGGTGGAGCTGTGTTTCCAATGGACCCTCTTACAGAAATGTAGGGAGTGATATTTCTGGCATTAACAGGTATCAGTTGAGTCTTTTTGTGGTGCAAGCAAACCTTAATGTTGTCTCCCATTACTGAAAAGCAGCACATCTCATCTGAGAGCAACTCTGTAATAGCTTTTCTTTCAAAGTTTGAGAACTGTGTGTACTTTTAGTGCTGTGGTATTGTCAAATAGGCTAAATAAACCATACTGTACAGTCTAATGAGTGATCCTTAACAAAGTGAGAGACTTTCGAAAGAAACAAACACAAGGAGCAAGAATAATCAGAATGAATCAGAGTACTCAGCATGTTAAAAACCCATAGTTTATTTCAAAGTATAAATTTCAGGCTTGCTGGACAAATCTCACTACAGTTAACACTTAAACAGACACCAGTCTACTGTACATTTAGAAAAGAAAAAAAAACACAAAAACCTTTAAAACCTAATAAAAACAGGACAACTTGCTATAGCCCAGTTTATATTAGACATTAGGAAGATCTTAACATTGTCTTATTATTTACACTTTCAACTGCAATAAAGAAAAATCAGAATGCAAGTTTCCTACAAAGTATTTTTATATTAACTTTGAAATGGCTGATGAAATACTAAAGCCAAGATTTCCAAAAGGTGTTTGATTGCCCAGTTACCTTATTTACAAACAAAATAAAAAAAGACAGCATTTAAATATAAATGCTTGGTATTTAGCTGACTCTACAAATTAAAAAACTTATCTAGCATGATAAAACTATTTGTATGGTCCTATTCCTCCCCATTGGCTGGCTCAAGAGAAATCGATTTTAGGAATTACATAAGTCTGCCACACTAACAAAACTGCTCATAAGAATTGTTCTAATCTTTTCCTTTGTCCCAAAATGTAAAAAAAGGGGGAGGTGGGGTGGGAGGACGGGACACATCATTTGTCCAGTAAGGAAGGCAGAATCATACATTGGTTTTAGATAAAGTTATTTGCAATAATCTAATACTGAGACTTGATTTTTCTGGAAATTAGAATAAAACAGGCCAATAACAACAACTGGCCAATAATAAAACAACGAATGAATCATAAGATACTGAAATAACCCAAGGTTTTTGCAGTACTCTAACAGTGCTAAGATCGTATGTATAAAAGCAAGAGAGGACGATACCACAGGCATTTTTTTGTTAATCTTGTATAGTACTGAGAAATTCGTGGAACAAGATAAATGCATGTCATGCAATATTAACACTCACCTTGTTGCATAAATAATTTAGAAAATATAACCAAAAGAGAACAAAAACTTAGCTAACACTTATGCAATACAGTAAGAGAATTCTGTATGGTGCAGCCCACCTAAGGAGTTCTGTAGAAATGTACCCCTAAGATTCTAAGCTCCTTGCTCTAGGACTTGTTTTTCAAATAAACCTTTCATTTACCTGACATTGGGGGTGGGGAGAGTGGGGAACATCTCACTGTGAGGCAAATGGTACCCCAATAAATATCTTTTAAGAAAGAAAGCTCTCTTCACTCTTCTCATTGACTTCTACTGTGTTAAACAGTACACAGTATTCTGCATATTTTAAAAAGTGAGTCCAGAGAAATAGAGGGATATAGTTACCTCATCAAGTTAACTGTTAATAACATGTTATCTTTATATGTAATTTATAAATTTACTGGCAATAACAATTTTGGAAAGAGGCTTACTCACACCTTAAATAGGGCGAAAATTAACAGATACAAAGTAAAGAGTAACAAACATCACTGTTATCTTTAAATGCCACGTAACCATTTTGGGTTGAAATTTCATAAATTTCCAGGATTTCCAATACAGTGACATTTAACACAAGTATTGTCAGGCTAAAAAATTTAGTAAACTTGCATTCCCAAAATGGGATAAACAAGCTTATTTGTAATACTCTGTGAAAAGGCACAACAAAATAAAAAAGGTATCATGGGGTGTGAACTGCTACAAAAAATCTGTAATCAGTAGCTATTTCTAGCTGAATCTTCCATTCTCTCTCCTGAATAAAAAGTGTCCATCAACATTAAAACCTGCCCCAAATAAAAGACTAGAGTTCTAGCCTACCACCTTTCAGTTAATCCAATATAGCTGCTGTTGCCTACAAATCCCATGTCAGACTAATTTGTTGAGGCCAATTTATAATATGCTTTTTCCTCAAATAATTACAATATTTCTTTGTACCTTCCTCCCACCATCAGGAATAAAAAATTATTTTACTGTAGCAAAATATTTTTAGGGTTACTGTTCGAAAATTTTTTTGACAGAAAACACAGTATACACTAAAATAATGTAATATTTCCATTCTACTGGGCTTTCTTCACAGGATTATATAGTGCTACAAAAACTCTTTTAAAAAGGAATTAGTGACTATAAATAGAAACATTCACCAAGGGAACCATTTCAAGGCTAGGTAGGCAAATTGTTATCACATGACCAAAAAAAGGCCAATAAAGAACAATTTTGAACATGAGCTTTCTATTCTGTAGACAGGAATGATCTTGAGCACATAATCAATGTTGCATCCACTGCAGGTAGAAACATATATACATGCAGTATGGACAGGTATTCATATACATCTATCTCCCTTTCGAAATTTTCATTGGCATGACATTGGCAACTTCTTTACCATTGTCATTAGTCCTAGAACGAGTAATAGCTACATGGTTGGCAAATTTGATTCATGGAAACTTTAATTCTCATTGTGGCCTTATTTTCTGAAAGTGAAAGGAAGGTTTTGGAGCATTTATAATTTGGCAACCTGTAGGCTTTCTTCAGCATCAACCAAAATTCACACATAACATGACATACACTGACTGGTGAGTCTATTTAAAGACTTTACAACTAGAATGCTTCCAGTTTCAAGCCACCAATGTGGCAAACAAAGCATTAATGGAGAGGATTGCTCCTTCCTATAATTACAGGAGGTATAATTTGAGAAGGTACAAATATGAATTCGAAGATAATTTCACGAACTCCATGAATTCCTTTCAAAATATTCCCAACCATACTCTCATAGTACAAATATGAATTCGAAGATGATAATTTCACGAACTCTATGAATTCCTTTCAAAATATTCCCAACCATACTCTCATCCCCAAGTGTACCCAGGAAGTCCTGTCCTACACTATCTACACTCAACTATCTGATACCAATAGAGCTCACACTCGTATTGAAAATGCAGGACACCTAAGCTGACCTTGATTAACTTTGAAGAGGAACAGAGAACTAAGTTATATCTAATTGTTACATAAACTGACCCCAAAGGATATGCTTTGAATTCTATCCAAAGCTGACATAGATAAATTACACAAAACTTGGCACCATCAAAACAAAGTTAAAAGTTAACAAAAGGAACAATGATACAAGAATAAAGAGATAATGGATCTTTCCCTTTAATATTTTAGCTCACTGTATTTTGTAAATTTGACTATTTCCTTTGAAAGAATATTATGCTTTGGGTGATAAAATAAACTGTAAATGCTTTCATAATTTCTGACACTGTGTGAGCACAGATACTGAAATTTTTTAGGAAAAGTTTCTTATACAGTTTGGTCTTCTCTTGGTCTAACTTTACATAAAATAAATTTAAATAGTGACCAAAAATAAAAGCATTTATATTCTTAGGAGAAAATAGCAAGTGAAAATTTTGGAGTTAGATGTAGTAATGCCACTGATGAGAATATGTATAAAAGCCTTGTTTTAACATTTACTTGAGGGAGTGTGCTATATTTTGCAGAGATAAAGGAAAAATGAAGGGCTAAAAGCTGAAAGGAAAGAAACAATGGACAAATGGCCATGTTTATTTTTGCAGTTAATGTTTAAGGCACAAAATAAATGTAAAAGAAAGATAGAAAAGGGAGGGGCCATTTAGATGTTTTCGCCTATTTAACAACCCAGAAGAGACAACAAAAGATAAAACAGATCCTTTCCTGTGTTCAAATTAACCTATTTTAAGCTCTTTAACCATTTTGCTTTTTATTTTTTTCTTTGGGTTTTGTTTAGATTCTGTTTAAATCATTTAACTATGAAACTACAGATCCCTTAGAAATAGAATCATGCCAGTTACATACCTCAGATGCTTTGCTCTACTTTATGCTAGAAGAGAGGTAAATTTGAGAATGAAAATGGGAGATTCCACTGCAACAAACATATAAATAGGAAAAAATAAAACCACACAAACACCCACACATATTATTCCCCAGCCTCAAGACTAAAGGAAGATGCACATTTACATTTCAAAACCTTGAAGCTTGAATTGTTCAGGAAAAGGTTCTTGCTTTATGAGCTAAGTTTATTTTATTCTGATTATAAACAAACGTAGTGTATATACACATCTGTCCAAGAAATCTCGCACAATGTAGATTTTTACAATGGGTATCATGCACAAGATTAAAATAAGACCAAAAAGTGGAACTTTTCAAAGAAGAGAGAAAGGGTCCAAGGTTTAACTGCTCTGGGAAGAAGAGATCACATCCGTTGACTGAGGATCGCAGAAAGGTCCAAAACGTCCATAAATATCCTTGGCCCGTACAGCAAAGTAGTATTTGCTGCCAGATACAAACTGGGTCAGAGTGCATGCCATTGGCAAAGGAAGTGCCTTTACCTCTCCAATCTTTTTCCATTGTGAGGGCACAGTGGCACTGGGTTCCTCATGGTAAGCATAGAGATGGTAGCTGTCAACAGTGGCACAGGTTCGATCCACTTCCAGGACACTCCATGACAGTACAATGCCATTTTGACTCTGAACTCGTGCTAACTTCAAGTGCGGCTTCTGAGGCAGAGATGTGCTGGCAGCTTCTGGGGGCAGGCGCGGTGGTTGTGGGGCTTCTGGTAAGGGTGCTGGGTGCACAGGGCGTGGGGGCTCCTAACCAAGAAGAGCCATGTTGATTTATAATGACCACACAAAGGGCTGTTTTTGAGAATTAGAACTAAGACATCCTAGAGGTCACTTACTGAGAACATTTTATATCAAAATACAGGAAAATACCAAATATTTGGTACGTTTTATTTGGTGAGCTGTAACCAACTATACCCCAAACAATGATGCTGAGGTAACCCCTGCTATTCTTTCCAGACCTACAGAGTTTTCCTTGGGAAATAAAAGCCCTTGCTAATGGAACATCATCTTGACAGATTGAAATCATCATCTACTTCTAACAAAATAATGTATGATTTAATTCTGTATGCTACAGCTTCTTTTTTTAGTACAATGTAACATTTTAAAATATTATGTGTCCCTGGCCAGTGTGGCCCACTTGGTTGAGCGTCGTCTTGTGCTACAAAAAGTTGCTGGTTCACTTCTCAGTGAGAGCACATACCCAGGTTGTGGGATTGATCCCCGGTCGGGGTGTGTATGAGAGGCAACCAATTGATGTTTATCATGTCAGTGTTTCTTTCTCTCGCTCCCTCTCCCTTCCTTTCTCTCAAAAATCAGTAACATTTTTTTAAAAACTTTAAAAATAAAATATTATGTGTGTCAGTCTACCATAGAAAATTTGAGTATTTAACTCTTCTTTCATTTTAAAGCTGTTTTTCCATATGAAGACTAGCTTATTCTTACAAGTAAGAAATAAGCACATTTAATAATGAATGTACATTAAGCTTTTGATCAGGCTACATGAAATAGGTGACATTTAAATTAGATCCTGAAACAGGAAATTTAGAAATATAGAAAAAGTTGTGTACCATTCTGCCAATAGGTAAAGCATGAGCAAAGGCATGCGGGATTTTTGGGCAAAAACCAGTGATAACTTTTTACTCAGACATAGGGTATGTGAAGAAGAAAAGATAAATTTCGAAAGGTAGGTTAAAGCTAGATAATGAGAAAGGATTAATACTAAGCTTAAGAAGTCAAATTCACTTATCTAACATTGGACATTAGTATTATTATATTTGGGTTTTAAGATTACAGTGATAATTTTTCCAAAAAAGATTCAAGTGAGAGCCAGGAAATAGGGATATTAAGTGATTTTTTATTCCTTCTAGTGAAACATCATTATTCCACTGGCTTTAGGAAAGTGGTATTTTGGTGTGTGTGTTTTTTTTTTGTTAATCCTTACCCGAGGATATTTTTTCTATTGCTTTTCAGAGAGAATGGAAGGGAGGGAGGGAGAGAGAGAAATATCAATGGGAGAGAGACACATCAATTGGTTGCCTCCCACACTCACCTTGACTGGGGGCAGGGAGTGAACTTGTGCAACCCAGGTACATGCCCTTGACTGGGAATTGATCCCAACACACCTTCCACGCCCAGTCTGATACTCTAACCCTTGAACTAAACTGGCCAGGCATGCTCACTGACTTTAAATTGGAAGTCATGAAACAAGATTTTCTTAACTGAAATTCATTTAACAAAAATTGTTTTAATATATATTTTATTAAATGGATAATTTGCATATATTAAATAGTGAATTCTGTGATAGTCTGATGCTATCTTTTTAATTCCCATGCCTTCTCAAAACTTAGTACCAGAAACATGTACATAGGAAGAACTCAGAAAGGATATGCTGAATAATGTCAAGGAATATAAATCTGCTGAAATTCTTATGCCTAATAGAAAAAAAATCAAACATGTCTGGAAAAAGGTATAATCTCAATTGAAAAGTTAAAATAAATATAAAGTTAGAGAGAAAAAAATTTAAACTTAAATAGACAAAAATTGAAAGCTGAAGAAGTAGAACTAAGTTGAGCCCTGGCCAGTGTGGCTCAGTTGGTTGGGCGTCGTCAAATCAAAGGTGTGATTCCCGGTCAGGGTACAGACATGCCTAGGTTGCAGGCTCGATCCCCCGTCAGGGTGTAAGCAGGAGGCAACCGATCAATGTTTCTCTCACATCGATATTTCTCTCTCTCTCTCCCCCTTCTTATCTCTCTAAAATCAATAAAAACATATTTTGAAAAGTAAGACTTATTTGAATGCTAACCAATTTGCTCTAATTCAGTGGTTCTCAACCTTCCTAATGCCGCGACCCTTTAATACAGTTCCTCATGTTGTGGTGACCCCCAACCATAAAATTATTCTCGTTGCTACTTCATAACTGTAATTTTGCTACTGTTATGAATCGTAATGTAAGTATCTGATATGCAGGATGTATTTTCATTGTTCGTGACCCACAGGTTGAGAACCGCTGCGTCTAATTCCTATCTCAAATTGTCTTTTTTCCGAAAGTGACTTAATCGTTTTAAAAGTAAAATTAAATAAACATATAGCTAACAATGTAAGAGACAATGGCTGAAGCCATACTTGACTGGATGGAGCACAGGAATTTAAGAAGTTTGACAATAGTTTAAATGGCCTGTAATATCCCTTCTAGTTCTTAAAATTCTAAGATTCTGAATCTGCTCATGTCCCAAAACTAAGTCAACTGAGTTGTTATATTTTTGTTGTTGCAATGGCTTTTACTGAAGTTTTATAGATAAAATAATGTGATATCAGGAATTTGCTTCAAAATAGTTGGTGTGTACATGGTTGTGGAAATAAGTGGCTGGTACCATAGATGAAAGACTGGCCAAGCACTAATAATTGTTGAAGATGTGTGACAGGTATACAGAAATTATTACTCTATTTTTTCTACATATATTTGAAAATTGCTATTTAAAAATATTTTTAAATTATTTAAAAGAATGTTCCTCCTGTGAGATGCACTTTATTCTAAGACAATACACATGAATGGAACCCAGTAAAAAACAAAAAAACAAAAAAACACCCCACCAACACACACACACACACAACTCTGATAGGTCATCAAATTTGCAAAACTATAATATAAATAAGAGATTTTTGCTATACTTTTTATGAAAGACTAATGAATGAAAGGAATTATTTATAGACACAAACAGCAGTAATGGTAAATTTGCCACACACCCCAATAGGGCCAGACTAGAGGGGCTGGGATCGGACAGCCTGAGTTATAAAATGGTTTTGCCTGACACTAGCTTGGGTAGTGACACAGAGTAACCACTTAACATCTTTGTTTGTGACACAGTATTCTTTTCTATAAGAAATTAATAATCCTTGTAAAGTTGTGAGGATTAAATCAAAGCACATTAAATTAAATTGGAGTACCTGGTATATTGTAAGTGCTCCATTAATATTAATGTTTTCATTGTAGAACAATAAAAATAACAGCTATTAAGAGCATAGGCCCTAGAACATGGGTTTCTACAAAGTATGACCTTGGGCTGCTCAGTCAGCTTCTCTGTGCATTAGCTGCCATATCATTAAAAAGAGAGCGCGCAGGAGTCCTAAAGGAGTTCCGTGTAAGAACTAAGTACATTAACAGTGTCTGGCACATAGTAAGCACTTAATAAATGCTAGCCATTATTACATGTAATAAAAAAATGAATGATCCTTTGCTTGGTAAGAAGTGATATGTCTCAATCTCCTCCCTCCTCATAAAGCCAGTATATTTCCATTTACATGGTATACCAAACCAAATACTGTTATAATCATGTCACAGGATAATGTGACATTATTTTGGAGACTACATTACATCTAAGGGGAAATCTTGTGATTTTCTGTTATCTCTGAGCAATGAATTCCGAATACCACTGAATTATTAAAAACAACAAAGTGGCAGCAATGTAGCAGTTAGAACTGGTATAATGTTTTGAGGAAAAAAATAAAGTTAGAGCATCAAAAAATGGTTTTTAAAATATGCTTTTTAATACTCCAAAATATTTTTAATTTAACCATGAGTTAAAATGGTCTATCTCTTTCATTTCACATGCCCCACCTGTGGACTCTTTTTATACATTATAAGCCACCACAAGCTCTATGATCCTTGACAACCATCATCCCTAGGAACATTTGTTCATAATGATAAGATCTAGTCTCTTAAATAAACTTCTGCAGGAAAAATGGAAGACCTGTCATTTCCTTTTGATATAACTAGTTTCAACACTTACAGTGTGCACCTGTGGTGGTCGATGATGCACTGTGAGCTGAGGTCCTGGGGATCCCAGGGCTATTCCATTGTTTACAACATATGTAGTTGCTTGAGGCACTCGAACCGTGACACCTACGAAAGAAAATTAAGAAATAAATTAGAACTTTATTCTAAATTTGGCAGAATACTGATTACACACCTGAAGTCAGTAAAATATTTTTAAAATATGAAAAGAAAAATATTTCTAACCTAGAAGTCTACACTCAGCCAAAGTATCATTCCAGCACGAAGACAAAGAAGTTCTCATATATGCAAACAACCAAAAAAAAAAAAATCTACTTCTCAATTAGCCTCCAGAGGATGTGTATCACAAATATAAAAGAGAAAATAAAGAGGAAAACAGTAGATGCAAGGAACAATAGTTCCTGCACGGGAGAGAAATAAATGGAATCCCTACTAAAAGGACTATGAGCAAAATCCTAGAACACTGGAACACTGGCGGCTCACATGTAGAAGGCAAACAGCCCAGAATGGAGCAGTGTGACCTTAAAGACAGAAAACATAAAGCTATCGCCACAAAAGTCTCTGCTATCTTGTTTGTTTTGTTTTTAAATATGTTTTTACTGGATTTAGAGAGAGCAAGGGAGAGGGGGACAGAGAAACATTGATCAGTTGCCTCTAATAAGCATCCGGACTGGGGACTGAACCCACAACCTGGGCATGTGCTCTGCCCAGAAATTGAACAAGTGACCTTTTTGGTGCACACATTGATGCTCAGCCAATTGAGCCAAACTGGCCAGGGTATGTCTTTTTCACTATAAAGAATGGGAAAAAAGAAAAAAAAACCCTACTAAGTTATTCCTGCCTTCTGTTATGAAGTTCCTCTCTTTCTCTCCATGCCTTCTGCTAATCAGTTATGGATACTCACTTTACCCAATAGTAAACTGTTTTGCCGTACATCAGGGCAACAGAAGCAGAAAATTTAGAGCTACACACTTCCCTGGGCTATAATTCTGGCAGGTACTCTGAAATCAATTAAAATATATATGTTTTTAAAAGGAGTGATCTACTGAGCACAGAAAACAGAACCAACCAGATAGAGGAAAGAATTAGTGATATCAAAGATAGGAATCAAGAAATTATGCAGAGGGAAGAAAAGAGAGACCTGAGAATAAAGAAAAATGAAAGAGCTCTATGAGAATTATCTGACTCCATCAGAAAAAGCAGTATTAGAATTATAGGCATTGCGGAGGAGAAAGAGTGGGGACATGGAATGGAGAGTCTATTAAAACAAATAATAGATGAGAACTTCCCAAATCTATGCAGAGAACTAGATCCTCAAATCCAAGAAGCAAACAGAACACCTAGCTACCTCAATCCAAAGAGGGGGACTCTTCCAAGGCACTTGGTATTGAAGCTGTCAAAAATTAATGACAAAGAAAAAATTCTCAAAGCAGCCAGGGAAAAGAAGGAAGTGACCTACAAAGGAAAACCCATCAGAATTTCATCCAACTTCTCAGCAGAAACTCTACAAGACAGAAAAGAGTGTAACCAAATAGAAAGCAAAAGGTCTGAACTGGCAAAGGAAGATGAAGATCAGATGCACTCAAAAGGAACAAAACTATGGTATATATGCAACTTTATTTTTATAAACCTAATGGTAACACACACAAAAATCCCCAAACCAGGACATATAGATTAAAAAGAGAGGAAAGATGTATGGAATGCCACCAAACAAAAGCAACAGACAGAAACATAAAGGTAAACAAAGAACCAATGGAGGCACAGAGCTAACTGAAAACAAAAGATAAAATGGCTATAGGAAATCTTCATACATGAGTAATTACCCTAAATGTAAATGGTCTGAATTCACCAATAAAGAGGCACAGAGCAGCAGAGTGGATAAAAAAACACAAAAAAACCAAGCATATGCTGCCTTCAAGAGACACATCTAAGCTGCAAAGACAAAGGTAGAGTCAAAGTAAAAGGGTGGAAAATGATTCTCCAAGCAAATAACAACCACAGACAAGCCATACTTATAGCTGACAAAATAGATTTAGAGACAACAATGGACACTTTATAATGATAAAGGGAACACTACATCAAAAAAATATAACATTTCTTAATATATATGCACCCAATCAGGGAACACTGAAATATATAAAATTACTCACAGAACTAGAGAAGAACAGATCAAAACACAATCATAGCTGGAGACCTTAATACTCCATTGACAGCTCTAGACAGATCAACCAAACAGAAAATCAATAAAGAAATAACGGCCTTAAATGAAACACTACACCGAATGGATATAATTGACATTTATAGAACCTTTCATCCCAGAACATCAGATTATAAATTCTTCTCCAGTGCAAATGGAACATTCTCAAGGATAGACCATATCTTGGATCACAAAATTAGCATCAACAAATTCAAACTGAAATTATACCAAGCATATTCTATGGCCACAAAGACTTGAAATTAGAAATCAACTGCAAAATGGAAGTAAAGAAACCCACAAATACATGGAGATTAAACAACATACTACTAAAAAATGACTGGATAAAAGAAGAAATAAAAGATGAGATAAAAAGATATATACAGACAAATAAGAATGACAATACAACAAATATACTCAATGGTGAAAAACTGAAAGCTTTTCCTCTAAGCCAGCGGTTCTCAACCTGTGGGTCGCGACCCCTTTGGGAGTCGAACGACCCTTTCACAGGGGGTTGCCTAAGACCATCAGAAAACACATATATAATTACATATTGTTTTTGTGATTAATCACTATGCTTTAATTATGTTCAATTTGTAACAATGAAATTGGGGGTCACCACAACATGAGGAACTGTATTAAAGGGTCGAGGCATTAGGAAGGTTGAGAACCATGCTCTAAGCTAAGGAACAAGAAAGGATGTCCACTCTCACCACTCTTATTCAACACTAGAGGCCTGGAGTACAAATTCGTGCATGGGTGGGGTCCGGCCTGCCTGCCGATGGGAGCTCATGGGGCTGGGTCGGTGGGGGGGAGGGGACACGGGCAGTTGGCCGGCCCCGCCTCCCATCCGGCCTGGATCAGGCTGGTTGGCTGCCACAATGCATGTCATAGACACTGGTCGAACTGGTCATCCCGCCATTCCAGTCGCTTTTATATAAAAAAATAGTGCTGGAAGTCCTAGCCAGACCAGTAAGGCAAGAGAAAGAAATAAAAGGCACCCAAATAGGGAAGGAAAAAGTCAAACTATCACTTTTGCAGACAATGTGTTTCTGTATATACAAAACCTTAAAGATACCACCAAAAAAATATTAGAAACAATAACAAAGTCAAGTTGCAGGATACAAAATTAATGTGCAAAAATCCATTGCCTTCCTGTACATTAACAAAACTTCAGAAAAAGAAATGGAAAAAAAACAAACAATTCCTTTTGTAATTGCAACCAAACCCAGCTAGAACTGGTCATCCCGCCATTCCAGTCGCTTTTATATAAAAAAATAGTGCTGGAAGTCCTAGCCAGACCAGTAAGGCAAGAGAAAGAAATAAAAGGCACCCAAATAGGGAAGGAAAAAGTCAAACTATCACTTTTGCAGACAATGTGTTTCTGTATATACAAAACCTTAAAGATACCACCAAAAAAATATTAGAAACAATAACAAAGTCAAGTTGCAGGATACAAAATTAATGTGCAAAAATCCATTGCCTTCCTGTACATTAACAAAACTTCAGAAAAAGAAATGGAAAAAAAACAAACAATTCCTTTTGTAATTGCAACCAAACCCAGCTATAAAAAGACATGTATATGGGACAGATAATTTTTGACAAAGGAGCCACAGACACACATGGAATAAAGATAGTCTCTTCAATAAATGCTAGGAAAACTGGAAAGCCACATGCAAACGAATGAAACTGGATTACAGTTTGTCCCAATGTACAAAAATTAATTCAAAATGGATCAAAGATCTAAATATAAGATCCGAAACAATAAGTTACATAGAAGAAAATTATAAGGACCAAGTTTATGGACCTTGGTCACAGAGAACATTTTATGAACTTGATCCCAAAGACAAGGAAAATAAAGGCAAAAAATAAATGAATGGAACTATATCAAACTAAAAAGCTTCTACACAGCAAAAAAAACTGACAATAAAGCAAAGAGGCAGCCAACCAGATGGAAGATGATATTTGCAAACAGTAGCTCCAAAAAAGCTTTAATTTCCAAAATATATAAAGAACTCATAAAACTCAACACCAAACAACCCAATCAAAAAGTGAGCAGAGGACCTGAAAACACCTCTCCCAAGAAGATATATGAACGGCCAATAGATGTATGAAAAGATGTTCAACCTCACTGGCAATTAGGGAAATGCAAACCAAAACTACAATGAGATACCACATACCACCTTACACCTGTTAGAGTGGCTATTATCAATAAGCCAAGCAATAACAAGTGTTGGAGAGGTTATGGAAACAAGGAAACCTTATCCACTGCTGGAACGTAGACTGGTTCAACCACTATGGAAAGCAGTCTGGCAACTCCTCAGAAAATTAAGAATAGAGCTACCATACGACCTAGCAATCCCTCTCCTGGGTATATACCCAAAAAACTCAAAATCATGTATTCGCCAAGATATATGCACCCCTATGTTCATTGCAGCACTATTCATAGTGGCCAAGACATGGCAACAACCAAAGTATCCCACTATAGAGGACTAGATAAAGAAGATGTGGTACATAGACAGACACAATGGAATACTACTCAGCCTTAAGAAAGGATGAATAGCATCATTTGCAACAATATGGACGGACCTTGAGAACAATATGCTAAGTGCAATAAGTCTGTCAGAAAAAGCTAAGAACGATATGATTTCACTTGTATGTGGGATATAAAACAGAAACTCCTGAACACAAAAAGCAGTGTGGTAATTGCCAGAGGGAAGGGGATATGGGGAGAAGAGAGTCCTGATGTAAGGTAACAGGAGAACATTTGACTCTGGGTGGAGGGTATACAGATCATGTAACATAGAAATCCACACCTAAAACCTATTATGTTCATGTTAACCAATGTCACCCCCAATCAATTTAATAAATATTTAAAAAACCAACATTTCATTATTGCAGGATCTTTAAATAGGTAAATTTATCCTTGCTATTAAATTTTAAAATTAAAGATTTTTACTGAAACCTACTATGGAAGTGGCAAAACCATACCAAAAAGCACAAAGTAAGGATGATGGTTACCTCTGATGGAAAGGGAGAGAGACGCAATTAAGGAAGGACATAGAACAGGCTTGCAAGATTCTGATAAAGCTCTTTTTCTTAGCCTGGTAGAGAGTTCAATGGTGGTTCACTTTATTTTATTTTTTTTATTTTAAAAGCTACTCCAACTAAATGCTAAAGAACTATATACAGCTTGGGCCATATACAAGAAAAGAGTCTCTTACTATTTTGGGGATTGACCTGCCGAACAGCAGGAGCCTGCATAACAGTTCCTCGCAGGGGAGCCTGAGCTGTTGGTGCAGGGAGAGTTGTATAAACCACTTGGTTTGCAGGAGCTCTTGGTACAGAAAGTCTCGTGGTCACCTGAGTTGCTGGACGATGTGTTACATTCACAGTGGTTGGAGCTAATAAAAAGCAGAAAAATGTAATAAGAATACAGTACAATCTATGTTAAATGAAGAGTATTAAATGTTAATTAACTCTGTACTAACTCTAATAATAGCTATAGAGACAACAGTCTCCTTTTGCAATTGTGATAAAGCCAACCAAAATTACTAATATTACTACAAACTTCAGAGAAAAAGAACATCTCAACCCTGTCCAATGCCCTTTCTGCTTTTTTGTTTTTCCTCACCTGAGGATATTTTCTCCATTGATTTTTAGAAAGTGGAAGGGAGGGAGAGAGGAAAGGGGAAAAAGAGAGAGACATTAATGTGAGAGAGACACAATGACTGGCTGCCTCCTGCACATGCCCTGACTAGGGCCAATGACTGAACCTACAAACCAGGTATCAGCTCTTGACTGGGAATTGAACCTGAGACCCTTCAGTGTGCAGATGGATACTCTGAGCCACAATGGCCAGAGTGCCTTTTCCACTCTTTAGTTTGACTACATAATAAGTATGAAAGAAAAGATTTGGACTAGAAATTACTAACTTTTGGAGTGACTTAAAAGAGCAGATTTTCCCTCCGCTATGTTAAAATGTTCTTAGCAGAGTGGAATTTTAGGCCCTCCAGACTATCTGCAAATGAGTATAAATCCAAGAGTAACTCTGTATTCCCACAGTTCAAGAAACTGGTTGGGTATTATAACTGACATTTTCTTCAGGTGAGCCAAACCATCTCTTTATTCAACACAATAAAATATCCATTAAAACACAGACTTCTTCCTTCTCTACTATGGCATTCTTCCTAACCTATGGCACAAGAGCATTAATGCCTTGAGTGACGTTAATATGTATTTGTCAAAACTGAATCTTAAATGTTCACTCACAGCATGAACTACAATACTGATTTTAGGAGTTAGCTTCTTGTTAGTAACTCTCTGAATTAGAATCACATTTTACAAATTAACTTTATAATAAAAAAACAATTAACAAATCTTTCATATGGAAAAAAATGGGTTCTATAAATACATTTGGAGGTAAATGCTGGGTACAACAAAGATAAAAAGGTGTCTTTACTAAAGACTCCTTAGTCTTTATATAGCCTCATTTTTTGAGTTAGAAAATGGAAGACAGTCTTTAGTACCCATTTTTGTTACCTTTACTGCACTTGGGTTTACATGATGATATTTCTTTCTAAATTAGGTGACTGTCATTTTAATTTCACTGGAAACAATTCCATGTGAATTCAATGTTTTCCTTAATGAAAACTGTGCTAATGTAAATATTTTGCAGATAAATCTATAAGCAATGGTTTATTGTATGAAGAAAAACTGTCTTGATTGGCTTCCAAACAGTTTAGGAGATATAGGCTATACCTTGAAAATGTCTCATTTACAGCTTCTTGAAGGTGCAAATAAAATATTAGTGCTACATCTCCTGTTGATAGTGTTAGGCCACTTAAAACTAGTTCAAGTTAAGAATTATTTTTAAATTCTTATTTAATTAGTCAATTATACCTTCGTGGGTATAACCAGAATGAGTCATTATACCCATCCTTCCTAAGAAAGGATATTCATTTCTGCTGTTTTCAGTAGCAAATGACAAAGGCATATAGTTTAAGCCTTCTATGTAACCATTCTATATAAGTGCTGCTACTTAATGACAGGAAAACTAAGTTATACAGCGTTCAAAAGGCACGTTATCTTCAAAATAACAATAAGAATTTTTTGTCTAATCTTTCCACTTGATTCCATAGTCCTATTTCATTGTAGACAAAACTAAAGCTTTGGTTTAATGATTCAGCAAGTTTACCTGTAGGTAGTAAGTGTATTGTTGTCTGAGATGGTCCACTTGTTGGGACCCCAGATGGTTGAAGAGGTGGTGCTGGCTGGATAGGTTGCAACGGCCGAGACACAGATTGAGAAGAACTCATGGCTGACACAGGAGTGTGAGTTAGCTTTTTAGTGTCTGTTAATTAAAAGTGAGACATTATGATTATTAATAGAAAAAATTAGAAATACAGGATTTCCTTTATGGGTAAAATTTACTTTTGCCTGCCACCAAGTCACATTTACCGCTTACAAAACAATTTCTTTCTATTTAACTACTAGAGCCCCGGTGAACGAAATTCATGCATTGGTGGTGGGGGGGATCCCCTCAGCCCAGCCTGCACCCTCTTGCAATATGGGACCCCTCGGGAGGGTGTCCCTCTCGCAATCCGGGACCGCTGGCTCCTAACAGCTGGCCTGCCTGCCTGATTGCCCCTAACCACTCGCCTGCCTGCCTGATTGCCCCTAACCACTTGCCTGCCTACCTGATAGCCCCTAACTGCTCACCTGCCTGCCTGATCTCCCCTAACTGCCTCTGCCTCTGCCCCGGCCATCGCAGCTTTGTCCAGAATTATGTCCAGAAGGTCGTTCGGCTGTCTGGTCTAATTAGCATATTACACTTTTATTATTGTAGATGTGTATTTGCCAATCTGAAAACCAAGTCAGGACTTTAAATAACTCACTGTTAGTTCTCTCACAGATCCTAATTAAAATGTACAAAAATGCAGTTTTATGTTTGACTGTTTTTTATGAGTTAATCCTTTTTCTGAACTCAATACAATATCATGTCAATTAGAATAACTTCATTTTCTACATTAATATAT